GATCTTGAAGACCATTCTGTACCTCTTCACAATTTTCTAATTTCAACTCCCTCTATTGCTGCTACTACACAGAAAAGCAACTAAAATTCGCTGGTTAAATGACCCAATGCATTCAGAAGATGTTAAAGTGGGCTATGCCCTGAGTCATGACTCGCCCAGTTAGATCGAGTCACAACTGAATGCGCCCACTATCTCTGAGCAATTCTGACGTCTCTATCGGATCATCTCATCTGCTGTTCACAGCGAATTGCTCGGTTTTGATTAGCACCATGGACAATACAGAAGTTCCACAGGACTTCGAGATGATTGCAGGAACACCACCGACGGGATCAATGATGGGAGCAAAGTTAAGCGACCAAGTCAGCAAATTTTACCTGGAATAAATCAGGTGAAATTAATTTACTTCAGGAATTTCTTGCCAACCTCGACGCACTCCGGTTCCGGACATACTTTCGATCAATATGTAGGTGAACTAGGCCGATTCAACGTCGAGAGGCAGTATCACCGCACAGAACTTTTGACTATTAAATAAAAAGTTATCCAAATTTATTAAAAACCAATGAAGCCAAAAAACACAATGGGAAAAAAGGTAAAAACTAACTGAAACTGAGATGAGCTGGAACTTGGGAAATACCGGTGTGAACAAAATAAACTCAACTCAATGTGAATAATAATAATAATTAACCTTGATTAACCTCAGACAAAACAACTGGTCCAACTGTTGACAATCTGGATACGCCTACTAGAAAAAAAAAATTGTGATCATTTGTGATCGATGAGAAAGCAAAGATTTAGGCTCTACCAGCAACAGAGTCCCTAACCCCTACTTTGAGACAAGGCCCTTTCGGGTTCTGAAAGGAACTCACGGGTTCAAGTCCGGAAAAATCCTCTTTAGCACCTTGGCGCACTGGTTTAGAGATCGTTCAATTCTCAAAATTAATCCCTAAAGATTGTGGGGATGGAAATAGGAAGTGGTCGATTTAGAAAGAAGAAACTCACAACCAAAGAAAGAAACCAAGTACACGGTCAAATTGGTATTGAATTTAGCTTCCACCTTCTTGCTCTCTCGGGAACTTAGGTAGAGTAAGGGATCGAGGGAGGGATATTGCTTTTGAAACTTATTCGATTGGCGGCTGAGTTCAACAGGAGAGATTTTATTGGAGGAGCCATGGATCCCGCTCCTCGTAATGAAGTTTTGACTCCTGGGAATGTGTTTGGGAGATAAATCAACTGGAGGAGCCGAGTTGTTGTTCTAAACCTCATCACAGTCGGCACGGATGCCACAAAACCTTCTCCTCCAGTACCTTTCGATTAAGGGGCAATTAATTCAAATTAACTACATTAGGACCTATTTGGGACCTTAACAGAGACTGGGCCTTAGACACGGTATTACTCATGAACCTTCAGGTCACAGCCTACATCCCTGGTTGAAATTCCATTGCTAAAAAAATTCGAATTTTTAATGGGTCGAGTTTTTACAGTGTAGGAAAACAAGGAAAAAAACGACATGCTGAGGAACAACGGCTGACACTGCTAAAAACCTCCTCCTACATATATAAGTTTCGGAGAGCTGCGTGGGAAGGGAGACCGGATATCGTGCATCTATGCTATGGTATCCTCTCGTATGAGAAGGCTGACCTCAAGCATCTGAGCTCACGTCCAACTCCACGTGTAAATGGTTTTACGATCTCCTTTTTTCCTTCACTTCAGCCTCGCTCCTCGTCCTTCACCGATGTATGCCCCAATGTCCTATGGCTTTTTTTTTTTGTTCAATGACCTTTTATTTACACAGCATGCCCTTTACAGAAAGAGGATACGAGGTGGGGACATTTGAAATATACAATTGGGGGTATTGAGATAATTGATGATGCGTTGGGGTTGGAGCGAAGTCTTGGACTTGGGTGGGTCCACGGCCAGCCACCAGGAGGTGTTTTCAGGCCACGTGTCCTATGGACGTCCATATATGTATTGTACAGGGTGGGTAAAAAAAAACCGGTCCTCTACTTTGAAACCTTATATCTCGGTCCCAAATTGAGCTAGAATAATTTAACAAAAGTGAAATGAAAGTTCATTTAATTCGCTTTCCAATGATATCAGTTGCAATTGAGTTCCGCCGAAAAACACGGGAGATAAATTGATTTGAAAAAAACTTTCCGCTGAAAAAAGTTTAAAATCACGCTTTTTGGCTCAATATGGCCACCTTTCTGCCGAATATCTGCCTTCAATCTCCCTTTCCACTTGAGGATGGCAGTGGCAATTGAGCCCTGTGAAAGTTCGGATTCGTTCCTTCAGTTCAGCGACACACCGGATTTTTTGCCCGCGATACACTTTCTCTTCCAACGCGGACCACACAAAATAATCGACTGGGTTTAAGTCAGGGCTATTGGGCGGCCAATTTTCAGGTTCGATGAAATCAGGACAGTTTTCACGAAGCCACTGAATTGTTGCCAGAGCGGTATGGGGTAAAAGAGAAAGTGTATCGCGGGCAAAAAATCCGGTGTGTCGCTGAACTGAAGGAACGAATCCGAACTTTCACAGGGCTCAATTGCCACTGCCATCCTCAAGTGGAAAGGGAGATTGAAGGCAGTTATTCGGCAGAAAGGTGGCCATATTGAGCCAAAAAGCGTGATTTTCAACTTTTTTCAGCGGAAAGTTTTTTTCAAATCAATTTATCTCCCGTGTTTTTCGGCGGAACTCAATTGCAACTGATATCATTGGAAAGCGAATTAAATGAACTTTCATTTCATTTTTGTTAAATTATTCTAGCTCAATTTGGGACCGAGATATAAGGTTTCAAAGTAGAGGACCGGTTTTTTTTGTACCCACCCTGTATATGCCCATGCTGTGCCAAGGACGAGTATCTCAGGTTCCTTAGCGTGGCACATGTTACAGTAGGGCCTCCTTAGAGGATTCCATTCCCATTCCTTTGAGTGGATCCAAGGATTCCTCTGATGACTCCAATGATGGTCAATGCCCTGCAGCCTCCTAAATACCTAATGGATGGAAGGTGATAAAATAAAAATCAGAATGGTGCAGCAACATCAACAGTGGGATGTATGGACGGCTTAAAAGAGATGTCCCTAAAGGTTCCTAAAAAAAAAATTGGGCCTTCATTTGCTTTTCGGGATGTTTTTATGATTGATAGTCAAAAATGTTTCTTTAATTTTCTATCATTCAGGTATCTTGGGGAACGTGATAACCTGTTGTCACCCCTGGAACATCGTTTCATGATATGAATCGATTGCGTCGAACTTTTAGCGATTTTATACCTTGGATAAATCTGACAAGAGTTCTTTTGCATTATGCACATCCTCATGTATACCATGTCAGTATAAAATACATGCGCGTCTCCATTTATTTGTGCCGTCTCATTCCTTCATGTCACAGCTCAGTGAATATCCTGCATGAGCAACCTCAAAAAGGGTACTAGACTTGTCTCCTACTAGTGGACAAGCAAGCATTATCTTCCAGCAGGTGCACATGCAAATAGTTTTCCACCCATCCACAGTTAACTCCATCAGGCATGCAATAAACACCACTGGTCATCGATGTCAAGAGTACAGAGCACATTCAAATGAACTCTGACTACTTTTGACTTCCAATTCTAATTCTAATTCTAATACTTTCTTGTTTATTCACTGGCTATGAAATTGGAGCAACATTTGACACAGCATGTGAAGGGTCACTGGATGCGTACTGTTAATACTCAACGTTATTTATCCACTACTTAGGGCATGGAGTCCAGGATGCAATCGTTGAAGGAGAAACAAAATTTGCTGTTCATCTTGTTGATATTGACCGTTTTCCTCATGTTTGGTCTCTTCGCTTACGTGAAGCAATCGGAATCCCATGTTGCCTCCCGAAGAAAGCTTCGAGTTCTCAGGTATAGTCAAGTATTGCATCAAGTCGTACAATAATTAGATCTACGATTTGTGTATCACGTCTACTCTGGTTGCATCTGATTATCCACCAGCATGAGCTCGAAAACGGAGATGGCACACTGCCTACCCGAAACGAAAATCGTGTTCTACAAGACGCACAAAACGGGAAGTTCCACGATCCAGAACATCATGCTGCGATACGGCAGAAACCGCAAGCTGAACTTTGCTCTGCCCGCAATTGCAAACCAAGTATTTCCTGATGGGGAGCATCCCTTCGATGAAGTCGCCAGGCCTGAGGGAAAAAAGAGTGATATCTACTGCTTCCACACGATTCCCTACGACGAAGAGATCATCCGATCGGTGATGAAAGAAACCCCCAAGTGGGTGACAGTGATCAGGCAACCGAAGGAGCTCTTCGTTTCCTTTTACAAATATTTTGACTTAGAAAACGAATTGCAACTAAGCATGAGCGACTTCGTCAATCTCTATCGGACTCGTCAGGATTTTCTCCCCAAGAATATGTCGCTCTACGGCCCAAATCAGATGCTTCGAGATTTCTCCTTTCCCTCCCAGAAGATGAACGATACAAGCGCTGTGGAAGAGTTTGTGAAGGGCTACTTGGACAGATTATTCGATCTGGTGATGGTAGTCGAGTTCATGGATGAATCCTTGATCTTATTACGGGATCTGTTGTGCTGGGATCTTGAGGACATCGTATACCTGCCTATAAATCGACGGATGAAAGGGGGGGAAGAAGACGAGGATTTGGCATTGCTGGAGCAGATCAAGGAAATCAATCGCGGAGACGAGATCCTGTACTCCTACTTCAGAGAAAAACTCCTTGCTAAAATCGAGGATTACGGGAAGGAACGAATGGCGGAAGAGGTGAGGAAGCTGACGGAGTCGAGGGAAGCCTGGCTGAAGGCATGCCAGTTTCAATCCCGCCCCTGGTACGACCTGCCGGAAGAATATCGCCCTTATGGAGACTCCTGGGGCTATTCGATGGGGGAAAACCTGCCGGATACTTACAGGTCCAAGTGCGAATCTCTCATCTTACCAGAGTTACAATTCATTGAAGTCATCCGGGCAGAGCAACGACTAAGGAATGGCCAGAGGGGTGAGATCTGGTGAAAATGGTGTTTTATAGTGGTATTTTTGTTTGTTTGTCCTTGGAATCCAAGTTTACAGTTGTGTGATTCATCAGGAATCAATGAAGTCAATTGCTGCTGAGCTGCTCTTTATTATTTTTTTTACGCAAGAATGAATTATCTTTCTTGGTCTTTCTTCAAGCGCGTAGTCTTCATGAGTCTACATATGCCAGATGGTTTTAAAGAACTCGAAAGAATCGCAGGAAACAGAGAATCCTGCTGAAGTTTATGAAATCAACATGATTGTCATTTTTTACCCTACTGGAACTTGTCTTTAGCCCTTCTAATAGACATTATTATTTGTCAGTGCCATTCGTTGGTCGTGCATCCTGTCACCATATTGGACAAATTAAATACAGGCAACGGTGAAAATCTCTAATGAATCTTTCTAATGAAAGTCGAAGGAGTGAGCAATAAACATCCCCTAAAGAGGATTAGCTTTGGTTTTCGGCTCTCTTATATTGATACTTCGCATATAGGAGTATAAGCAACGCGATTGAGGCCACCTCCGCCAAGCGACCACATGAGTGGTGCATTCATTACGTCATAACCGCGTCAACCATATGGTGCAAGGAAGGGCTTTTATTACGGAAAAGAAGGTAAGTATTTACATATTTGAGTGGCCGGCTCCCGACATTGTACTGTTTCCCCAGTCATCTCCGCAACTCCGTTATTTGCTCTGCCTCAGCCGTGACAAAATGGCAGTGCATAAACCTTCTGCCTAAAAGCTGTGCCATCTTTAAGTTTTGCGCTACGGACTTTCGATACTTCGTTGTGAGTGTCCCATTTCTTTCGTTTATTTTATCAGTTTTCTATTTATTGCATGCTGTATTTATTGTGCGCAATTTTCATAGAGACATTTTTTGTTGACTTATAGAACATGCCACAATATATTAACGGATCTGTTTCACATATTGTCAAAAAACGCGCTCTCTTCGAGATTCTTTAGAGTTCATGAGATAATAGATAGCTCGTCAAAAGTATTTTTATGTGTCCTTTAAACGTCCTAAAATTCTTGTTCCAGTCGTTTTGGCACAGGACCGAAAACGCGAAGGCTACTCGAATTTCATTTTTGCGCGAGGAAACTTATTGGTTGTTGAAGCGCACCGATTCCGGGCCAGAGTTCCTCCGCCTGCTCTTGAAAATGTTCTATACGAAAGGAGGGGTTAAGGCAGTATCTTGAAAGAATTTCCTGGTAAAGGATGAAAGAAATGTTGATCTATTGTTAAGAGCTTGATTCACAAGGTGAGAGAAACCGGTTCATCCGAGAGGAAGAGAAGAAGCGGAAGACTAAAACTAGCCAAAACTGAATAAAACTGCGTTCATGTGAAAGAAGTCATTGTTTCTCAAGATGATGATCCTAGAATGCCAAATTCCAATCGGCAAATTGCCAGACATAAGGACGAGTCAGAGATCTGCTTCGCGGATTCTGAAGTGCAGAGGAAAAAACCCTTGAAAATAATTGTCATTCTTAACGAGTGGGGCAGGTACTCCCTTCAGCGTCCAGGTGAGAGGGCAAAAGTAAAATTCCAGTTGCTCTCGTGAAATCATTCGTGTGCTAAAAGGCTAAAGGTAAACTGGCAAACATGTTCGGATGCTCAAAGGATGCGGAGAGATGTGCATGAAAGAAACTTCGTTATTCTAGCTGCCGCTTCAAAGGCGACACAAATTTTTAAAGTGCTGCGGGTGTTTTTTGCCTCACCCGGCAATTATGAATAATATAATTAATTACACAATACTAACTTAATTATAAATGCAAATATTTCCCTATTTGATTAAATATATTTAATGCACTTATCTAAATCCTCATCAATCGTATCAATCAAAGTCACAAGAACTAGTCCTAGTGACCTAGAGAGACTCAAATGGAGCCAGTGCCTAAAAGTGAACTGGAGTGACCAAGAGCAACCCAAGTAACCCAATTTGACCCATTGATCCAACTTGAGCCTGACGTTTTCTGACAACTTAATTCAAGTGATTTCCTGAATTCCATGTGGATGTTTGAATTTCCATGAATTTCGGAAACAGAAGAAAACCTGTGGCGAGTTGTAGATCGATTGGGTACCACTCAAAGCTGATTTTGGCATACATTGACCACCCTAGGATGTATGGGCGCAAGTTGAGTCAATTGATAAATTTTGGCATATTTGGGTCAGCTTGAGTCTTTTGGACCGCCTTTTGTAATTAAGAAAACGTTGGCAAAAAGTATAGATTCAGGATGGCGAGTGAGTTTCAAATTAGGGAAGGAAATGATCCAAATGCTTCGGTCCTATAATTTGTAGCACCCGATAGATGTACGTGCATTCATCATAATCAAAGCAATAAGAACGCGAACATATCGTAGAAATATGTTGAGAGCCTCATCATACCCTGGATTGGATTTTAAGCAGTGTAAAAAGTTTTAAAATAGAACTTCCGACGGAAATCCTCTGCCAACTCTTTTTGGCGCCAAACAAAAATTCTATATTGTACAAAATACCAGCGTGGCAATGATGATGACGGAGGGAAAGAGAAAGTGACCAAAACTGAATAAGCCCGATTCTGGTAATTCTCCGTAACACACTCTCTATGGCTAACTTTGACATCACCATCTGATCATTTCAACTGCTATTCATAGGGAATTGTGATCGGACATTGTTAGTTATGGCCACCATGGGAACTGGGGAATTCTGCAGGGTCCCAAAATGATTCCAGTGACGCCATCGATGGCGACAATGATAGGAGAGATAGAAGAGCATTCTAACAGAATACCGTTCCTCTGCATGTTCTCCTCTGATGACTCTAGCGTGATCGATGGTCAATGCCCTACAGCCCTCAAAATCTAATGGATGGAAGGAAATGAAAGAAGTCCCTGGGTGCACTCGTATGAGATCTGGGAACGTGCAGGCTTCCGATCCTGAAATCGCAGCTCGACTCATCCCTATACGAGTGCCTCTCTCAGTCCCCATCAAAAACGTAAGGAGCATGGAGTTCTTTTTTTGTCATCCTGAGAAGTATCCTAAAGTTATTTTTCCTTCTTGTATCAGGTAATCAATGCCACTTCGCTGATTTTGAAACTTAGGCTCATGGTGATGATGACTGCAATCGTTAAATAGGCGCTCCCATAACCAATCCCACACGCACACGCACTGTTGCAATGCAATATCTACGGATGTCACCTGAGGTAAAAAATAATAATAATAATAATACGATTTTTAAAAAATAGGGAGGAGGGGGGTTATCGAGCGAAGGTTATACGTGACTTTAAAAAAATAATTGGGGATGCTGGGCCCTTTCAAGGGCTGCCAGGGTGGCGGGTGATGATCTCCAAAGCCACCTAGAAGGAGATTGATGAATGTTTGATACATCTAACGCTATTCAAGTGTCACATCAACAAGCTCTTCTAGCAATTGGGTAGGCCTCTAACCCAAACAAATTATGTAACCGTTATGTAATGAGGTTGGTGCATGCTCCTATAGTAATTTCATTTATGTCAGGCTTTGCTTTGGGGGAAATCATGCATCATAAAAAAAATTAGATAAAAATGACAAACCGTCGTGAAACTTCCTAAGTATTTTTCTCGGGAAAAGGCTGAAAATTTGTAAATATGTACATTGACTTTCGTTCTTTCACGTTGTTTTGTTTTATTGTCAGAGTGCAAAAATAGTGAATATGTACAATTTTTTTAAACATGGTATAACGCTTTGGAGTTTAAAAGGGCGGAATTAAATTCCGGCTGCGAGGAGACAAAAGTATTTATTAAAAAATAACACACTATAAATGCTAATAATTTCATCTTCAATCACTGGGCAGGAGAATGGAGAAGAAATTGACGCAGCATGTGATAGGTGACTGGATGCACGCTATTAATGCTCACCGGTACTTCTTCCCCGTGTAGGGCGTGGATCTTAGAATACGGCCATTGAAGAAACAGCAGTATTTGTTGTTCACTTTGCTCATGATGTCCGTTTTCTTCATGTCGGGCCTTTTCGTCCACCTGAAGGAGCTATCAGATTATTCCCATGTCATCTCCCGACGGAAGCCTCAAGATCTCAGGTACAGTCAAATATTGCATTGAGCCGTATAATTACTAGATCTACGATTTGGCTATTGCACATACTCTTGTTACATCTGATTGCCCACCAGCATGAGCTCGAAAATGGAGATGGCACACTGCCAATCCAAAACGAAAGTCGTGTTCTACAAGACGCACAAAACGGGAAGTTCCACGATCCAGAACATCATGCTGCGATACGGCAGAAACCGCAAGCTGGACTTTGCTCTGCCCGCTATTGCAAACCAAGTATTTCCTGATGGGGAGCATCCCTTCGATGAAGTCGCCAGGCCTGAGGGAAACAAGAGTGATATCTATTGCTTCCACACGATTCCCTTCGATGAAGAGATCATTCGATCGGTGATGAAAGAAACACTCAAATGGGTGACAGTGATCAGGCAACCAAAGGAGCTCTTCGTTTCCTTTTACAAATATTACAACCTGGAAAAGGAATTCCAGCTGAGCATGAGAGAGTTCGTGAATCTCTATCGAACTCGCCCAAATTCTCTCTCGAAGGAAATGTCGCTGAAGGGCCCAAATCACATGCTTCGAGATTTCGCCTTCCCCTCCCAGAAGATGAACGATACAAGCGCTGTGGAAGAGTTTGTGAAGGGCTACTTGGACAGATTATTCGATCTGGTGATGGTAGTCGAGTTCATGGACGAATCCTTGATCTTATTACGGGATCTGTTGTGCTGGGATTTGGAGGATATCATATACCTCGTACATGTCTCTGAATCGACGAATAAAAGGGAGGGAAGAAGACGAGGATTCGGAATTGCTGGAGCAGATCAAGGAAATCAATCGCGGAGACGAGATCCTGTACTCCTACTTCAGAGAAAAACTCCTTGCTAAAATCGAGGATTACGGGAAGGAACGAATGGCGGAAGAGGTGAGGAAGCTGACGGAGTCGAGGGAAGCCTGGACGAAGGCATGCCAGTTTCAAGCCC